ATAGTCTCTGATGTTTGCACGATATGTCAATTTGGTCCCTATTATAACAATCACATTTTATACTACTCAAACAATACCTTCAAAAAAAAAAATTTTAAAAATCACAATTTTTCCAAACATGGGCAGGAGGGAGATGAGGTGAGGTTTGGTTTAACTGTATAAAATTTTTGATTAATTTGATCAAAGAAAATTGAACGGATAATATAATTTTTAATATAGGTAATTTATTTATTTATTTATTTTATAAGATAAATGTAATCCAATTATATGAATTTCATTGTTCAATAAACTTAATAAACTATTTCATTGGATACTCTTTTCAGTAGATTTTACAGAATAAAATATTTGTATCATTCAATCTGGATGGTAAAATGAGGAGCTCAACCCAATTTCATTTTTTGTCTTTTGTTATCAGAAATGATAAAAAAATGGGGGGAGATCATACCAAGTGCTTTGTGACAAACAGAGAGAAGAACGATCAAAACGGCGAGACCGGCCAAGACGCCTACTATTATGGCTACTGTTTTTCGGACCTCGTCCTTGTTGCAGAATCTACACACAAACACACAATCACCAAAAGCTTTTAAAAAAAAGGAATTGGAATAAGTACTCACCATTTAATCATATAGAAATTGGACAGAACTTTTGAGTACAAAAAATATAAAGCACACCCATCTATCTATTTTATTATTAAAACCAATAATCATATAGAAACAAATGCAAAATACATGCAAAATAGTGAAGATGTTCAAAACTAACCAAATAAAAAAGGGAAGATGACACACACACTACAACTGCAAGAAACCGTTCCTATGTATAGCATCCAAAACAAAACTACAAAATCATTCTGTTCTGGAGAGGTTGATAATGTGGGTGGTTGTTGTTGTTGTTGCGGCGGCGGCGGCAGCAGTGTTGGTGGAGTTGTGCTGGTGTTGGGGAGAGGAACACTGCAGAGAGGATGAAATTCACAGAAGATGCAAAGGAGGATAAGGTCGATTCTTGGGTTGATTGGGTTGCTGGAAAGTCATCCCAGTGAGCAATCTCCTTCCATATATGTTACTGTTTGATATACAACACTTAGTTTTGATCCTTTGTCAAGTTTTTTCTTTTTAAATGGCCATATTAATATGGCACCACTCTAATACTATTTTTAAATTCAACACTTTAGTTTTGATGCTTTGTCTAGAATACCTACACATAACATAACATGTGAAATTGAAATCAGATAGAACCAAATACAAAAGAGAACTTACCAAATACGGATAACTTTCAGAAAAGAACTTACCAAATACATTGAAGATGGACAAAACTTTTGAATGAAATCGAAACAAATGGAAAATGCAACGAAGATGTTCGGCACTTTTTGGAAGATGTTGAACCTGATTTGGAACTGGTGTCACCCGATTTGAAACTGCTGTGCAGTTTAGAAACGTGGGGTAGTGGAAAATGTGGGTTAGTGAAACTGAATGGTTTAAATTTCCCATGTTACCCTCAACTACAAACTAACATAAGTGTAAAAATAATATAATTATTCAAGAAGTTATGGTCATTTTCGGAAAAATTGGAAAAAAATTCTAAGCTAGGCTTCATGACACCAAAGTTGGTGTTGGCTTTTAATAATAGAATAGATATATATATATATATATATATAAGGGCAAAATAGTGATTTTACATCGGGGCAAACGGGGCGAGGATCGGGCCGGGGTCGAGGCGAGTCCGGGGCTGAAACATGTATCCCCGTCCCCGGCCCGTATATCATCGGGGATTTAATTTTTAATACCACCCCCGGCCCGTCGGGGGAATTTTTCAGGGAATCACCACTCAGTTCGGAGTAGGGGGGTCGGGTCCCCGTCGGGCCGGGTTCCGATTGCCATCTCTAAGAGAAAGGAACGACAAATTTGGTTCAATCAGACTTTTGAAATTACAGGTTGAGAAAGTGGGATGGATTAGGCTGATCTGGGCTGGTTTGGGCAGGATATTTTCATAGGTGGGCTTTCTACTAAAAAATAAGGGAATTTTTTGTGAAAAGCCCTCTTATCGGGATTTTTTTTGTGTAAAACCCATGGAATAAAATAATGGTTCTAAAAGTTCATTAAATAAAAAAATATATAGTGAAAAAACTGAAATACCCTTTTATATAAATGGGCAAATATCAAATGACGGAACCGTTTGTCTCCTTCACTCTGTTTTATCGCTTGAATTCGTTGCTCTGAAAGCGGTCAATCGAACATACCAGAATAAAATTTTACTATCAATTTATCAAATAAAAACATAGTACATACTAGAGTAAAATTTTAACTCTCATTCTGTCAAACAAAAATAGAACACATACCACAGTAAAATTTTACATTCATTCTGTCAAACAAAATCAGATCATACACAATAAAAATAAAAAATAAAATTAATCAACAAATCAACATACCTGATTTAACTCGAACAATAATCAAACACGTAATTAAAGCAAAACCTCTAAAACTCTAACAACACTTACAAATCTCGATGAAACTCTCTAAATCTGATACAAATTTATGCAGGTTTAAAATGTAATCTCTTGTTTAATTGAGAGTGTTGATCTTCAATGGCGAGATCGTGTATTGTTGACCAAGGGCGAGATCTTCAAATTTTGAAATCATTTATAGCTTTTCCGGTTTTAACACGTCACTTGTAGTACTTCGGACTCGGGTTTGTATGATTTTGAATAGAGATTCATATCTTGTTTCCCTTGTATCCCCTCTGTTTTGGTTATTGGATTATAGTTGTGCATTTAGAATAGGTTGGTTGCTTATTTTTCCAAACCTTTATTGCCCAGATTTTTGCTCTATAGCTCGAGCGGTCATTCTTTGCGCTCGAGTGGGTTTTGCGAACTCTCAATACTTTGTAGGTCTGCAAAACTACTGGAAAAATGTTTTCTACACTCGAGCGGCATTTCCTACGATCGAGCGGGTGGACACTCGAGCGGCCTTTCCTGCGCTCGAGTGTTGGTTTGTTGTCTGCAAAACTTCTGGAAGTGCATTTTCTACGCTCGAGCGGTGAATTCTTGCACTCGAGCGATGAGCATTCGTTGTGTCTTGGTGCTCGAGCGGCCTTTCTTGCGCTCGAGCAGAATAACTTTTTTGTGTCTGACGCTCGAGCGTCAACTCTTCTGCACGAGCGAACTGTGCATATATCAAATCGCGAAAGTGATATTTTATATCACTTTTTCATTCTTCTCTCTCTCTAAAACTTTCCAAAAACCTAGATCTTTACTCTCTCTCTCTCTTTCTACATTTTCTCCTAAATCTATTGATCTCTCCGCCCTAGTGCCTTTGGAAAAAGGGTAGAGCACCTTGAAAGCTTCATTTTGATCCGATTAGAGTTTGGTTTCGACATTGTTGAAGTTCCATCCTTACTCCATTGATCTTCTAAACTTGAGGTAGGGATTTTCTATACTTTAATATGGTTTTTAACTTAGTTATTTGTCGTTGTGTAACAATGATGGGATTTGGGGATAATGTGAACAAACCTAGGGTTTGAGTGTAAAATGGAAATAGGGGTTTTGATGAATGAGGGATAAATGATTGTGGGGTTTGAAAATGCTACTTGGTTGATACTTGAGAAAAGAAGGGGTTTGCCCTAAAATGATCATAATATTTATTTTGTATAAGTAAATGAAATTGATGTTGTGAACATGAAATTGAATGTTTTGAAATAAATAGTGGATGAGGGTAGATAATACGCCTCATCTTTGGAAATTTTGAACAAATTATCTATCCTCAAATTGTATATCTGTTTAGAAATAACTGTATTGGGTTATCGGTGAAGGATAACTATGATTGTTGTAGAAATTGCATAAGGATTAAGTGAATTAAAACTAATCTATGGTTGGTTATCACTGAATATGATCATGTTTTAAATACATTGTATATGTATGATTGTTTGGGAGGGGAAAATGGGGGTACTCCATATATGATTATATGTTTAAATACATTGTATATGTATGATTGTTTGGGAGGAGAAAGGGGATAGGCTCCATTGTTTGTAAAAAGATTTAGTCATCACTCCCTCCTTTCTTCTTTCTCATCATCCAGTTTTATGCCCATTGGAACAAGTCTTCAGAGTTCCATGGTAGGATGGAAAAGTGGGAGGAAAGGGATGAGGGAGGAAGAGGGTAAGGATGTATACGCTTTCCTTGTTTGTTAGGAAGGAGATTGAACTAGAGGGTTAAAGTAGGAGTGAAGGGCTTCACTTCCATGCCGACCAAATTACTTCCTCCACAAAATGGTGGAACTTGTGAAAGACCAAATTTGTTATATTATATTCAAATGCTTTCAATGATTCTTACAAAACTTCAAAATCAAGTATTATCAATAATGGGTATTGCACTTTGAATTGGATTCGAAGTCGGTGTAAGTAAATATTGCTTTCTCTTAGTGACCTCGTCAACCAAGCTTTAAAAAACAAAAAACAAAAACAAACAAACAAACAAAATACCATAACAATATTAGAATAGAGTCAAATAACTTTTGATAATTGAATTAAATTCTCTTCCCATATTTCAATACATTTCCTTCTCTTGAATTTTCAAAGAATTCAATATAACTTGCTCATAATTAAGACTACAGGATTAACAATCATCGCGCTGCTTCAACCAACAAAACAATTCTTTTTTTTCTTCTTGGGTGCAGCTAACTGGTCCTGGTGCATATATTTCAAGATAAAACTTACCATTCATTATATGTATATATATATATATATATAGAGAGAGAGAGAGAGAGAGAAAGAGAGAGACATAGGGGAATATAAAGTACCATGGCTTTTGGGAACAGAGGAAGTGAAGGGCTTTCCATCAGGGGGTGTGGTTTTTGAGTTTTGCGACTGTTGTAAGTCGTTGTTTTTGCAGACAAGAAGTGTAGATTCTGCACTATATCACATACATAGAATGAGAGAGAGAGAGAGAGAGAGAGAGAGAGAGAGAGAGAGAGAGAGGGAAACTAGGCAAAAAGTGAGGAAGAAAGAGAGACCTAGGTTTGATGAAGATGAATTCTTGAGCTCCAAGTCCAGAAGATCTTTGCTGCTATGCGCCATCTAAGAGCACCGCAAAGTTGAAGTATCAATGAGCTTACACTATAAATCATTGGCAAAATTTTTGGTGGCAAAATTTAGGTGTAATCTCAGTGATTACAAATTTATTTGCGGTAATCTCAGTGATTGAAAGTTGGGATTTGTGAATTCGAGTGCAGAGAGGATTTAGGGTTTTTGAGGAAGAGAAAGGGACGACAAATTTGGTTCAATCAAACTTGTGAAATTACAGGTTGAGAAAGTGGGCTGGGTTAGGCTGATCTGGGCTGGTTTGGGCTGTAAACGTCCTATCTACATATGTGGTGGTAGCTTAGGTCCTGTCAAAAAGTTTTTGAACCAGTAAGTCCCATTTACAAGTAAAAAGACGTTTTGCCTTTTAATCTCAAAATTGAGAATGTTCTCAATTTATAATTATCAAAACTACGAAATTTCTCAATTTTTTTCTAATATGATTTGAGAATATTATCAAAACTAAGAAATTTATAATTATCAATTTTGAGAAATTTCTCAATTTTTTTCATGATTAAAATTGAGAATATTATAAATTGAGAAGGTTCTCAATTTCAAAAAATCCCAGATCTCTCTCCCTCTCTCTCTCTCTCTTTTTCTCTCTCTAATGGTAGTGGCATTTGTGAACTTAGTGAAAATCAAAACCTCACAATCAATGGACTCATCGCCTTTTGGACGAGTCTCCAACGCCGGCTCTTAGTCCTCATCTTTCGGTGGACTCTCCATTTGCTTTTATGGATATAATGGTATTACGAGATTACGAATGTATGTTTCTGTTATTTTACATATTTATTCCCTATGAACAGAAGTACTATGTGCACGTTTGGTACGATGATATTGGCTGAAATAAAATGTCTATTTTAATTTTATGTCTTTTTCCTTGTTTGGTATGTTTTATTTAAGTGAAAACAGTCATTCTATTAGAATAGCTATTTTAACAAAATGTAAAAATACATATTCCTTCCTCTAACCTAAGGAATGGACATTCTATTCCATCATGAAATTATCATAAAATTTTATTATTAATTTTTTTTGTTGACACTTAAAAAAAATATTATTATTTAACTACTATCACCATTCCGTTCTCTTACCACTCTATTGCCGTCACAACTACCATACCACCATACTACCACCACCGTACTATCGATATCACCACTACTATCACCACCACTACCGTTGGCTGCCACCGCCACTATTGCAACCACAACACTACCTTACCACCACCACTAAGGCCACAACAATCTACTACCACCATCATATTATCATTGCTATCACTATCACCGATGCTGCCACCACTACCACCGCCACCGCCACCACCACTACTACGACTCATGCCATCACTTTCACAACAATTAAAATTATTATGATTTATATAAAATTTTAATTTATTTATTACTAGTTTGAAAAAAAATAAAAACACGAGAATGAGAATTATCATTTTTTTTCTTTTTTAAAGTTTAGTTAACGAGGTCACTAAGAGAAAGCAATATTTACTTACACTGACTTCGAATCCAATTCAAAGTGCAATACTGTAGACACCCCATTTTTGACCGACCTTAAGACTCAGACGTCACCGATTGAGCGCTTGGTGATGTTGCATAATGTGCTCGTTCAGAAATCTCAGAGTCGCGGCCGTGAGCCCTGCCTCCGGACTTCCGAACCCTTTTCTGTGCCTTGTCTCGGTTTGCGAACCAGACTCGGTTTTCTCTGTTTCTTTTCCTGAGGGGAGGGAGAGGTCCCGTAGGCCATCTCTCAATGTCCGTAGGCTACATTTTGTGGCCGTAGGCCATTTTGCCCATTTCGGAGTCCGGTTCCCGGTTTTCGGAGCCGTCAGACCGTGTGCCTCGGTTCGGGACCGCTTAACCATCTCCGTTTGCCCCGTTTTTTGGCATACTTCTTATTTTCTCCCTTTCAAGGGACACTGGGGTCTTAGAAACCCACTCCGTGGCCGAACGCCACTTTCGGTGCTTAACGGCCCATTTTCGGGATCCCGAACTGCGTGTTTTGGCTCCCGAACATTCGTTTTGCATCGGTTTTCGTTCATTTTTGGCAGGTACCTCTGTTTTATCACAGGGAAGGTCACTGAAGGGTGGGAGGCCAGCAATTGTTGCAGCAACCAGTTATATCTCCTCCGGAGCCCTCCGACCCCCGTTTTTCGGACTTCCGGGCTAATGTTGAACACCCTGGGGTTAGTGTTGCCAACTTTCAACCACATATCTGTGATCTACACACCTGGGAGGCTCCTAAAAACCCATGGCCGGCTAGTAATTTTTCTTTCCATTTTTGCCCCTCCTCTTCAACTGCAATGTTGAACACCTTGGGCCCATTTTCTTGAACTTTGAACCACATATCTGTGATGTACACATGTGAGAGGACCCTAAAAGTTCATGGCCGGCCAGTAATTCGAATTGACCCTTTTGAACCCCTCTTTCCGAGCCAATGTTGAACCCCTTGGACCCACTTTCTTGGAATTTTAACCACATGGTTGTGTTGTACACACATAGGAGTACCTCCCCAGTATCTGGCCGGCCAGAAAATATCATTGAACCTTTTGACCCCTAGCCGGCCGGCTAGGGGGGGTGGCCGGCCGGCCACCTTCAACAAAAGTGAAGGGCCGGCCTTGATCCTTGTGCAGAGTGCTTTACAGCTGTGCAGCTATTTCCTCCAGAAAATATCCCAATCCGGGGGATATTTTGTGGGGGAGTTTTCCTCTCCTTTTCCCCCACCTTTACACCCTCCTTTTGGTCCTTATAACCAGCTGCCATGGTTGTTTATGAGGGTTGGAAAAATTCATCTTCAAGGCTCCATAGCTAACTCCATCTTCTTCCTTCTCAATTCTTCAAAAAACCCTAAGTCCCTAACCATCATTCCTTATACACCACCAAGCTCTACCACCACCATCTCATTTCCAGCAACAAGGAAGGATTCTTGAAGGCTAAAGAAGCTGCAAATCAACCCAAGAAGCAACAAAAGTTTGAGTCTTCAAGGGTAAGTAATACTTTTACCCTTTTGACCCTTTTTCTTGATCCATTTGTAAGTCCTCTATGCTTTTTGTTTCAAGCTCCGGCCCTAACTGAAAAGGGCCCTCTTTTGAGCTCATATTCACTTTTCATGAAGGGCTCAACCCTGTTTGAGCCCTCCATAACACACTTGCTTCATTGACCCTCTTGTATGTCAACATTTTGCATGCTATTTTTAGCCTATATGTAATCTGTTTTTGAGCATGTTGTAATCTGTGAAAGTGCGTATTTTGGGCCCTTCTTCAACATTGTTGAAGGACCCCTCACCATTTGGTGCCTCCATGTGTCACTTGTAGTAATATCCCTTATTTGGCCCCATTTTTGCATAAATTGGTAGCCCTCTTTGCTTCTGTTTTTGGACCTTGGTCCGAACTGAAAGTGGCTTTGTTTTGGCCTATAATTCATGTTTCATTAACACTTTTTTTCTGTTTGGTGATTATTTTGTATACTTCATGTTATAGCACCTTTTGAGCCTTGTTTTGCATCACTTTTTTAGCATATTTGTATACTGATTTTGAGGCTGCCATATACTGTAAATGTTCATATTTTTGGTCCTTCTTCAGTGTTGTAGAAGGAAATTTTTCAGTTTGGGTTTTGCTTATATCACTTGCTTCATTACCCCTCTCTTGGCCCCTATTCTTGCATGCCATCTTTGCCATACCTATGCTTGCTGTTTGGCCATGTTTATAACTGTAAAAGTGCGTCTTTTGGGACTGCCTAGCTTCTGTATTTGCATTGCATGTCCATATTGTGTATGTTTGGCATGGCTATAGGCCATTTCGGGTGTCTAATGTTGCATTTCGGGACGTTTCCTTGCATTTCATGTCATTTCGCTTCATTTCGGGATTGTTTTCCCCCATATTTTGTTGCTGAAATTCCATTAACATGCTTGCATATCATTTTTACCATATTGCATTGCATATGCCATTGCCTCGGTTTGCGTGCCCGTGGGCACGCATTTCGAGGCACTTCATTTTCATCTACCGGCATCCTATGTGAGTGTGGCTGAGGCTCTCTCATGTTGGTATAAGCCCACTTGTCACTTCCATGTCATTCACATTGCATTTGCCATCGCCTCGGTTTGCGTGCCCGTGTGCACGCATTTCGAGGCACTTCATTTTCTTTCACCGGCATCCTATGTGAGTGTGGCTGAGGCTCTCTCATGTTGGTATAAGCCCACTTGTCACTTCCATGTCATTTGCATTGCATTTGCCATCGCCTCGGTTTGTGTGCCCGTGTGCACGCATTTCGAGGTACTTCATTTTCTTTCATTGGCAGCCTATGTGAATGCGGCTGAGGCTCACTCATGTTGGTATAAGCCCACTTGTCATTTCCATGTCATTTGCATTGCATTTGTCATCGCCTCGGTTTGCGTGCCCGTGTGCACGCATTTCGAGGCACTTCATTTTCATCTAATGGCATCCGATATGAGTGTGGCTGAGGTTCACTTATGTTGGTATAAGCCCACTTGTCATTTCTTTGTCATTTCATCACATTTCATCATCGCCTCGGTTTGCGTGCCCATGTGCACGCATTTCGAGGCACTTCATTTTTATCCATCGGCCTCTTATGTGAGTGCGGCTGAGGCTCTCTCATGTTAGTGTAAGTCCATGTTGCATTCTACATGCCATTTCCATGCCATTGCATTGCATATGCCATTGCCTCGGTTTGCGTGCCCGTGGGCACGCATTTCGAGGCACTTCATTTTCATCTACCGGCATCCTATGTGAGTGTGGCTGATGCTCTCTCATATTGGTATAAGCCCTTGTTGCATTTTCATGTCATTTCATCGCATTCTATCATTGTCTCGGTTTGCGTGCCCGTATGCACGCACTTCGTGGCTTCTCATTTTCATTGCATTGTGCATACTAGGTTGTAGCTTAGATTACATTCTGTCATTTTCTCGATTTGCGTGCCCGTGTGCACGCATTTCGAGGCATATCATTCCCATAGCATTGTGTATGTTAGGATTGTATCTTCGTTGCATTTCAT